CATTTGCAAACGAGGGGGAGCCTTACTGTTACAGATTAGTTGAAATATTACATTTTGAACAAACTGGAACAAAACAAGGTTTAACCTGACATCAGTACACTAGCTGTGGGAGTAAACATGTAGAGAGCCTGCCTTGGTCTGGACACAGTAGTGTGGCAAATGCTGTCAAATCACTGAAAATAACTATTTCAAAAATCAAGAGCTGTGCTTCCCCTCCTGAGGTACAGCAGATTGTAGTAAGATGTTTTTGCTTAGTGTTTTCTGTTCAAGCACAGGAAAATCCCAGTGCACTGAAAGTTTAACAGCTATGTGGTTATCTAACATTTTGCAGTGTTTCTCAGTGGACTCAGAGGTGGGGGAATGTTATGGCTGTTCAATTGACAGTTACATGTCTTTTATGCCACAAAAACCTGTCAACCAGCACACTTCTTAGTCTGGTTGTCTAACAGGCCTGTGGTATCAGCTGTTTCTACAACTGGAGGAATAAGAGCATGCAAGATATTTTGACATTGAGGCTGAGTCGTTTATTGAAATTGAAATAAAGTAGTTAGAATCTGTACTGTAGTGTTTGCTCTTACAGATTAACGAATGAAAGAAGAGAAGGGCCTCCAATAGTCCTGCTCACGAGAGAAACCTCAAATTACATCTGATCCCATGTAATTCCTTTATTCTGGATGTTGCTTTTTATTGCAACAACTGATTTTATTGGATGTGAGAATTGTTTGATTTCAACTTTTATGAGTCCTTTGCCTTTTCCAGAAGAGGACCAGCAGAGGTTATATGTTCTCACATCACAATTTCATCACTCGGTAGCTCCCTGAAGAGCAGATACCAATGGTGAAGCAAAAATACTACAGAGGTCTGCACTGCTGAATACCACCTATATACATACAGTTTAGGTTACATTCACAGAAAGTCTTGTTGTAGATAGTGTTAAGTACTTTAGTTTGTGTTCACACGTAGTGTTTTCAAGGCACATGGGCACTGGGATTTAGGATTTTTCAGCCTTTGGGTGAGGTCAACTTCAGCTAGTTATAATTGAAAAAATCTTTTTGACGAGTATTGTTTTTTTTTATCACAACTGCCTTTTTTGTTTAAATTTTTGTAAGTTAACATTAGAGACCAGTGTTGGGCACAAAGCTTTTTTGCTGTGGGTGAGGGCCAATGCCTGAGGACCCTCAGTGTTGTGGCACATCCCCCCCCCCTTCCTCCATGGTGGCCGGTGGGTTGGGATCCTTGTGGAAAGGGGTCTCTTTGTAAATGAACCAGCAGTTACCTGCCCAGAGGATCAAATTCAAGAAGCCAAATATCTGTAGAAAGACAGGAAAACAGATGACTGGTGACACACAATGCACAGTAGTCATTTCAAAGGTCAGTTTGTTGTAGAATTGCACTAGTTGCACATTATATGATATTGCATCCTCCCTTTGATTTTGTTAGACTGTGGTATAGCATAATGAGTTTGAAAATACATTTCATAAGTAACTTAAGCCCCTACGACTAACAGTTTTTGTTTTACCATAGGAGGGTCCATAAGGTCTGTGATTCTTTGACAGGAACCAGTATCTTCACCAGTATGTAGTTTTAACTGTGAGGGGAAATTCTTAGAAAACCTCATTAATCTAAGATTATTTTTGAAAATGTGTCAACTCTTTGTGCCAGGAAGCTTTATAAATACAGCCCCAGGAATACACTATTATGGATCTCCATTATACATTTGGTCTTTTCACTCATTGTATTCACTGATGGCACAAACATGTAAATATGTATCATTACATCTAGTGGTAGGACTGGTGATGCTACAAGCTACAATCTACCTACTAATTCCAAAAATTTTAATTTGTACGTGAAACACAGATCTCATCAAACATTCTAATCAGCTTCACACTTGGCACATTTTTATTGGCCTGGGGAAGTGCAGTGATGAATTTTACTGACATAAAATGTAGGATATTAAATTGTATTTTCACTCGAACATTAAATTTAAAAATGGAAATGGAAAATACAGACCACATTTTCATGTTACAATGTGCATTCAAATTGTATTATATATAGTTTACACTGCTGATTCCTGTACTATTGGAATACTCTGCTAGTAATGGCACTGAGGAAAGTAGTTGGTACTTATCCTTTGCAAAATTTAAATTGTATTAAGTATATAACCATGACCCAGATGAATCCCACCCTCAGTCTGGTTCTGTTGGAGGTTTATTCCTGTTAAAAGGGAGTTTATTCTCTCCATTATCAACAAGTTTTTGTTTGTTGTGGGAATTGTTGTATTTATAAAATTGTATGGTCTCGACCTTACAATGTAAAAGTGACTTTAGATAATGCATGAGATAATTTGGTGCTATACAAATAAAACTGAATTGACTCTTTAAATTGGGGATGCGTCCAGGTGCTGAAAGCAGAGTCAAAATGAAGCATGTTAGCTGTATTCATTAAAGTTTGCCCACAAAGGCAGTAACAGCAGTGAATATGGCAACATGCAACATGCTACATATATATATATATATATATTCACCAGTGTTACCGATTACAACAGACATAAGGCAACTCTAGCTTAGGTGTTTTGCTCTCTCTTTAACATAATCCATCCGTTGAGCTGGGTGGTGTTAAAAGATCTGTTATGTTTTTACCATCCTTTGATGACAAATCCTCCTTATCGGTCAACTCTCCTCTGATCTGATCACACTCTGTTACTCTGATGTTACTGTACTGCTGCATGGATAAGACATTTTCATTTAATAACAGTAGCTTCAGAATAAGTATTGATAACTAGTATTTTGAACAGTATAGGTCTTTATCCAATAAATATGGACTTTGTACTCCCATAGTCTCTCTCTCTTTTTTCTCTCTCATTTCAGATATCTCTGACCCCGGAACCTCAGGACAACAACTTCTCCTATTACTAATTACAATATAGCAGTGATTCATTGTGCTATCAAATGTGTCTGTTATCCATAATAAATAGTCTTTACACTGTTGTTCCATTTTTAACTAGTCAGATCTGATACCTGATGGCGCTCAAATGTCCCCGGTCTTTCTCGCCCCCCCTCTCCCCTACTTCCCCCTCCCCACTATCCCTCTCTCTTCTCTCCCCTCTTTTCCACCCATCTCTCCTCTCCTTCCCCCATTTTCTTTGCTCACCCCAACCGGTTGAGGCAGAAGACCGCCCACATTGAGTCTGGTTCTGCGAGAAGTTTCTCCCTGTTAATGAGGGAGTTTTTCCTCTCCACAGTCACCGAAGTGCTGCTCATTGTGGGAACTGTTGGGTTTCTCTATATTTTGATTTTAAGGTCCTGACCTTCTATGTAAAGTGGCTTGAGATAATGTATATTATGATTTGGCGCTATACAAATAAAATTGAATTGAACTGAATTGAATATGGGTGCCAGCGCTGATACACAATAATGAACCAAATAGGATTTACATCTATAGAAAACTTAATAGTTGGTGGGGCCAGTGGGCATTTTATGTAGATGCATGGTGTGGGCCTGAACACTGGAAAGCAATGGGAACACTTATTCCCCTCATGTTTACAATCAAAAGTTGAAAACTGTTGAGAGTTGAGCACAGCTTTGCAGCTCTGTCAAACCATGGAGGAGATAGGATGAGCATTTTTAAGATCATAAAAGTTTCCAAAATATGACTATTGAGAATGAATCCTGCCACTGCAGCAGGTGCACTGCTTTAACATGACTTACCACAGAGGCAGTGAGGCGGCCCATGGAAGGAAACTCTCCTGGGTGACAGACGTCCTTGCATGACTCCACTAAGTGCTCAGGGTTAGTGGCCCATTTGACATCAGTCAGGCCTTTGCCCCAAGCTGAGGAGGACACAAGCCACAGGAAGGCAAAGGCAGCGGTCATCACAAGGTCCTGTTAAAGAGTACATAGTAAACACTGTTCACTTACACATCACTACTCAGAACGGTCTCAGTGCGTTTTGCATGTCACTATAATTTACAATTTAAAAAGTATGTTGTCCTCCCAAGAAAAACATTCACAGTTTTCATCTGTGGGCAGGTTTCAATAGAAACTCACAATTAGCTCAACTGCAGACTGCACACTCATATCTGTTTGTTCAGTTTTCAACTGCAAATTGTACTGCACTACTGCCACATGACTGGCTGATTGGATTCATATGCACATGAATACATATGTGGTGACCACCCAGTGAGAGAAAGAAAATAAAACAAGCTAACTACACAATCCTGGGACTCTATTCATACACAGGGATGGTGAGTATCAATCAATCAAACTTTATTTGTATAGCCCATATTCACAGATCGCAATTTGTCTCTTACAGCTTATATGGTGTAAGTATGATGAGGGTCAGTAGGGCATGTACTTACAACGATGGGGCCGCGGCTGGTCTGGCGGTAGACACTCTGGTAGCCCAGATAGAGGACCAGCGTGGCGGTGCAATAAAGAAACCCAAATACGCCGACACACACAAAGAACTCTGCCGAGGAGGAGAAGTCTCCCTGCAGGTAGGTGTCATTGGATTGGCCACCATTGCACAATGGTATCTTATAGGGGTTCGTTGACAACCTGAAGAGAAATAGAGAGAGTAAACTCTTTCAACAGTCACTCTGATTACTCTTACCTATATTTATACTCTGTGATTTCTAGGGGAAAAAGGCCTCACCTCACTTACTCTTTATCCAAGGAATGCAAGAACAGAGAATATGAAGTAATTAAGACACATTTGTCAGATTCTACAAAGAGTGTGCACAAAATAAACAAACCTTAACCAGCTCTGTCACAAAGATATTTTTGACGTTCTCACCCAGTAATTTCTTAGCATAATTTAATGATGATTAACAGAAGATCCTTTTCCTGATATCAGAAAATCCCAATATTTTTCAGGTGAGAACAATAAATACCACACTGTGGTTGTAGGCCTTCGCCAGCCAGTGCAGTTTCCGTCTGCATTTTCCAGTTTCTTATAAGGTAACTGTCACCTTTACCTCTGACTTCTGAAATCCAAACATCTTTGAGTAACAGTGACAACTGATCAAAAGTTCAAGAACTTCCCCCAAGGTGGTCTTGAGACAAAACAGAGGCCAAAGACATATTTTGAGAGGCCACCGTGGCTGTGCCTTTTGACTACCAATACCTATTTAGCTGAATATGAAATAATTCGCTTGAGGTTTTCCTGAGATATTACATTAAAAAGGTCAAACGTGTTTTAAAAGGGCAAAGTGAGCTTGACGTAGACCACCAAACTCTCATCACTTCATCTTTAAGTCCAAGTGAATATTCGTGCCACATCTAAAGAAATTCCCTTAAGCCAATGTTAAGATTCAAAAATGTGTTTTGTGAGGTCACAGTGAACTTGACCTTTGACCACCAAATTCTATTCAGATCACCATCAGTCCTAGTGAGTCCTTGTGCCAGATGTGAAAGGATTCCCTTTCATTCTGTTCTGGAGATATTACCAAATTTGAAGACATTCCGTCAAGCTAATCTTAAGATATCAAGTTCAGGAAAAACAAGGCCACAGTGACATTGACCTTTGGCTACAAAAATCTAATCAGTTGTTGCCAGCGCGGAGGCATTATAAAAATCCCTTGTATATTACCTCCACCAAGGAGATTCTGTTCCATTTCTTTCGTCCACCTGCAGGACTACTCATAAACTGTTGAACTGACTTTTTTAAGCTTGGTGGACTCAACTGACCGATTCATACGTTCATAAAGTGATGCAGAATCAGGAACAGTTAAGGGTTCAATGTCTTGACACACACTTGGGAGTTTTTTTTTTCATAACTGAGAAATGAATATACAATTCATTTTCAGCAGTTTGGTGGTAGTTTTTATCTAGGGCCCTGCTCAGACCTGGTATTAATCCATTCGCTCACACGTGGCCAGTGCTAAGTTCAGCTCAGTATGCAACCAAAAAGAAAGCAAAAACCACATAGGGAGGTTGTACGTGATGCATGTGAAAAATCGTTTGAGTTGTGTGAACTCAAATGTGTCCTTGGCTACAGCTGACGCGAACATATTAGTACTCTTCCTTGTGTTGATATGTTGATTTGTTCAACAGTGACCACCACAAAAGTATTGATACTTTTCTTAAGGAAAGGTTTCTATACTTTTGATTAGCGTTTTATGTTTTATGCTGTTTCTGTTTTGAACAATTACAAATTGCCCTTATGTATGAATAGTGCAATATGAATTAATTTCTTCTGTATTTTACTAAATACCTTTACATGTGCTTTCCCCTTTTTTTTCATATTTTATCTGTACAAAACTTCAGTGCAGTCCATACTAAAAAGGAACCAATATGGTTTTAATGTTTAGTAGTAGTAGTGGAAAGGACAGCTCTGGGCATGGTCTCAAAATGACACACATAACATACGTGATTCTGCATTTTTTATAGATATAGATATAAGATAATTACCATGGGATATTGAGTTAAACCATGTGATCCAAGGTTTTTTGATAGTGGATCTAAATGCAGCCACCCAGGAAACACTGCATTCAGAATTAAGACCAGCAATCAAAATCATTATTGATGGCAGTAAACCACACTTGAGTTGATAGTGAACTGAAACAGGAGTCAGACCAGGTGTATATTCTGGCATGAGTTTGGGTAGTAACCATCTGAAAATCCTGTTTCATATTTTAACTGCATTCAGTGCTTATTGACAGCAATGTGACCAGAACCTATATGAGAAATAAAGAGCAAAGGAGAACTCTTGTTTTACAGTACCTAAATGGGTATCCAAACACAGCCTTGACATCCTCCTCCTTGCTTTCTGCACATTTGACAGTGAAATGGGTTGTCCCAGAGTAACCTCCAGTGGTAGAGAAGGCAAAGATGGTAAAGACCTGCAATGGCAGAGGAATAAAAGACTAAAAGTTATTTCAATGAGAGGCAGAGATATTTGTTTAATAATAAATGGTCTATTTTTCTACAGCGCTTTTCTAGTCTTGATGAGCACTCAAACTTAAGTTTATTTTAAATTCCGTCAAAGGACTTACTATTCTATCTTCTCTAAGGGCTCTGAATTTATTTATCTGTTTCATACTCTCGAATATATTTCATTTCTAGGTTTGAGTGAGCTCACCAAAATAATTCAGTCAACTTTGTTTATATGGCTATGAAGTATTGAATCTTGATATTTAAAAAAATACATTTCTTATTCAACTGTGCTACTTTTTAAGCTCAGAGGTAAACTTGTAGATTACAGCCAATATAAATATTTATTACAGATTACCATTCCCTCTCTTTAAGTAAATTTTTACCAACTTTCCCACTATCACTATCATCTGTGCTCAGTGAATGGAAAGTGTTCTGCTGCAAAAGTAACACGTGTAATGCAGCACTAATAATACAAACATTAAAGAAGTGCAAAACAAAGGACAAAGATTTAAAAAGTTTAACTCTGTGGAATAGTTTTCATAGAAGAATTAATGTCAGCAAAACTCTACTTCTCAAGGGAGAAAAATGGTATCCTCAAATATGCTGACCAACACGGACATCAGCAGGAAGAGGGAAACAAAGACCATTTCCTTTAACCTTTAACATGAATCAGAGAAACAACGCTTCCACTCTAGCAGCAAGGTCTGGACAAGATTTCATTAGCCTTTCTTCTTCCCAGCACTAAGTGTTTTAGTTAGAAACTTGAAGTGTGACTTAGGAGTACTCTTAAAGCTTCAGTGTAAGATGAAGGTGAAAGGGATTTTTGGTAAATTGAATATAAAATAATCCTAGTGATGTAAATGTGATCTAAATTGATGAAAATATGGGCCCTGGACTGGACTTAGACCTGTGTGGATCAGACTGGCCAAATTTTCAGGCCTAAGCAGTACTCTGCTACTGTTACTATGCAATCCACATTGTAGTAAAAGATGTATAAGTTTCAGCACGGAACAAAGTCCTAATGATAGAATACAACAAACAAAACCTCATACAAGTTAGTGTTGCACCAGATGTTCATTCAGAGCCACGAAAGGCCTAAGGCACTCAGTAAGCATATCAGTAAGCAGAGTACATCCATCTAACTTGATGTTGTTGATATCCCTGCTGTTCGACATTCATTCTATTTTTAAAAGTAAGAAGATACAAAAATGGAAACACAAACTAGGAATAGAGTGGGATTTAATACATCAGCACTTCTCATTCTACAGCCAGCACTGACTGACATTATAGACATATCACCCCCCGTAAATAGCATGTGGAACGTAAGGATAAAAATAAGATGAGTTATACCATTAACCAGATTCACTCATGACTACTTTTTCAAAGAAACTCAATACCCCTTTATTTACACAGTATGCCATCTAACAGCCCAAAATATACCCCTTGACAAGACTTTACCCGGGGTTAAAATGGGCTAGCCTGTTTTATACCCAGGTATAAACTGGACTAACCCAAAACATACACAGTGTATAAAACAGGCTCGGCTATTTCATACCCCCCCACACACACTCAGAAACCAGCCCTACGAGGATTCAGTTTTGATCTCAATGGTCTGGCTAAACTATCTTAATTTTAATTTTAAAAATCCGATATTAAATGGAGATTTTATATCTCACGCTAATGAAACAACATTATAAACAAAAATACACTATTTACATCCCTTAAATGCAAATTAATCAAGTGAAGACAACAATGAAACAAGAGAAGCTTCAGGCAAATATATACACATGACCATATCTACCCTCGGACAACCTGACGTCTTCACTTGACATACAACTATACAGGCTTGTACAGGCGTGTACAGCTGTTTTGTTATAACCAAAAATTTGTGTTGCAGTAATAATCTTGTAAAGTAAGAATGAATAAGCAATACAGTACCTACAAACACTATGTGAGTAACAGCACTCTTCCCTCCTACCATCTCTCACCCTAAGAACATCCCTCCAACAAAGAAAAGCTTCTGATTAAGGCATTTGATTCTTGTGTCCATAGTTTGTCATTGTTACACACATCTAACACCAGCACATTCCCACACCTTTTCAACTAACTTAGCAGTTGTTTGCGGTGGACCAAAGCACAGGGTGAATTAGTAGACTGCAGTGGTGTAGGATGGACAGAGAGATAAACAGATATTGCCATATCCTTGCAATATGACACTTTAAAAAGGCAAGAATATTTACATAGACATATAATTATCTATTTCTGAATCCAACAGCCATTGGCCTGCGCCGGAATTCCGGCACAGTGCCGGAGAACTTTAGGCCACGAGTCTTTTGAAAGCTTCAAGCCCACGGAGGATTTTCAGGAATGAGTTTCATCTTTCAGGCATCTCTGGATCTCAGCATTTCGCAACTGTCACCTCAGCCCTGTTTGACCCACCCAGACCAATCTGACATAGCCCCGAAATAAACCCTTTGGACAGGGCATGGCCTCCCTGTTCAGACTTACTGGTTTTTAATGGTCAATCATGATCAAGCGAGACACTATGACACTGACTCCGAGATGGGGGAGCTTGTGAGTGAGGTGCAGAAAGACATGTTTTTGGTGGCCACAGCAGTTGTATCAATAAAAGAAAACACACTGAGTGGTATCACAAACATTGGATGCATAATACAAGGAATTTTTGGTTACTTGGTGCAAAATTAATTAAATGACTACAGTAGGTCACAAAATCTTGTAACATTTTATACAACCATTAGTTGTTTACAGCACATCAAACAAACGACTAGCCAAATCGGAAACAGACCCAGCAGGTCATGACTGATTAAAAAAGCCTGACCATCGCCTCCCATTAGTGATGACCACCCTCCATATGACACTGTGAAAACTGTTGTTACTAATTTTATTCAGACCAGTGTGACTTTCAGTAATATCCATTATAAACATCTGCTCAGATTGTGTGGCGGAGGGAGGCACAATGTTTCTCCCAGCGCCACAAAACCACACTCTTGAAGAAGTATGTTTATTGCAACCTTAAAACTGGAGCTGTCTAATGACAACAGGACTTGTTGGACTGCCTGTAGGTATTGGTAATAGTAAGGTTTCAAATCAGAAAAGCAATGGCTGCAGGTAAAATGCATAAACGCTCTTTGACCATCATTAAGGAGTAAAGATCGTCGAGCTACCAAAACTAAAGCCACACTATCAGTAGTGGCTTAATGCAGGGACAAGATTCTGACTCAGACCACAATGGATCAAATAAAAAAAGAGAGAACAAAATGTATCACAAAAACAAGGCATTTGGGAACTCATTGTTGATTTCCCAGAGGGATATTTGAAAGCTAGTTTTACTATGGGTATGGGTATTGTAGGAGCTATTACGTGCTGTATCATTTCGTATACTAGAGCCAATTAGTTCAGTTTTGAGCAGTAGATGGTGTGGAGCACAAGGTTCTTATCGTAGCTTTATCTGCAAGACAACAAAGACTACAATTTAATGCAAGTTCATTTTCTCATGATTTCTGCAACGAATGGGAACCTCTCCCAAAAGGACAAACATAGATATGATCTCATCATTTTCTCTGTAAAAACTATGCACCAGGAGCATTCCACCCTGCCTACGTGACTCTACAGGAGAGTCACAGGTATGAAAACTCAATACTCTGATAGAATATATCTCTCTTTGGCAAAACTTTTGTCCAGAGGTTTGGGATGAAATGGCTTTAAATTGTGAAAAGTGTTTTTATTCTGCCAAATGAAAAAAAGAGGTTTGTACACACACATTTCCCTCAAAGGACAGATTTAAAAAGAAATTGTTTTGGTATTGGTACATAAACTAGGGTGACACTACAATAACCCAACCTTGAGTTTAAAGCGGTGTTCAGACTGCAGCCCTTCATGAAAAAACACAGCCCTCTCTTTCCCTACAATTGGGTCAGTCCAGCAACATAACCAAAGGTTCCACCTGGCCACAGTTTTTGCAAGACCACACCACAACCATATCTGGCAAGGCATTCTTAACACACCTTTCTGGCAGGAAAACATTGTATTTCTGTTTGCCTCATCATCATTTTGACAACAAAAGCAATTAGGATTAAGCAGGATCTGTGGTTACAGAAGTAACTTCAGGATTAACTCTGGGTTTTCAATGTTAGTAAGCTGGTTCATTCCTTACTGGTGTAAATCACCATGGTAACACGCTGCACCTCTGACCTGCTCTGGAGCTTGAATTAACCTTGAATATCATGTTTGTCGCTTTAACTGAATGTACCTCCAGATATCAGCATTTCTTATCTTTATTCAGGGTTCTGACAATGATTATCGCACCAACTCTGCTTAAACCTTATAGCAAAGAAAAAAAGGTGTCCCTTCACTTTCAGTTTTACCTTCAAATTAAGCGACTTGTGTTCATCTGCGCCCCTGTGAATTTTGAAAATAAAATGTTCTGCTTCTGTGACTATTTGATAGAGATACATACTCATGTTTGACAACCTACTGAAACTGTGACAATTGTGCACTAAACCACTAAACAGTGAACCAACAAGTGGCTTGAAAAACCACAGTACAGTGAGCCAATGTTTGTTGTTTACAAACAGGACGTGGCTGTTTCACAAACCCACACCTTAAACACACACAGCAATACCTACTTTAAATAGCAGTTTGCACAGGAGCCACAATCCTGAACAGCTCTTTGTAAGTACACAGTTCATTAAGATTACCCACTGTGAAGTCAATTGTACATACTCACATTGCAGTGATATTAATTGTACTGAGCAGCAGCATACAGCTGCATGGCATTCCTCAAAAAAGGCATATGGAGCTGGTTCACATCTGCTTTAATGAGAATTTTTCTGCAGCAACAAATAGCACCACCAACTTCTGAGTGACGCTGATTAACTTTCTGAAATAATGAAACAACTAGCATTTTAGCTGAGAATTAACACATAACTGGGTTTCACTTTGGAAAAAGTGCAATGGTTTACAACAGAAACTTGAATTCTCATTTAAACTAGTAGATAAATTTAGCATTTAATTTGAAATATCAATAGCTACATGTAAATCCACAAGCTGCAGTATAATTTATTTCAGTGAATTTACTTAATTACTTAGAGAAGACTCTGACACTCTTTCTGCGTGGCTCTCATCTGTTATGGCGTGTGAAGATGTAATCTGGTTGTGTGAAGGAGAAAATCAAGGTGGGTGCTGCAGTTGACGATGTCTGAAACTCTGCAACACTCTTATAGGTTTAACACTCACATTTCACTGGAAATGTCACTTAAATTTTTGATAGTGTTGACATTTCCAGAGACAGGAGACAAAGGAAAGTCAAACAAACCTGTTACTAATAAGCTCTTTTTGGCACATAGATAGTGTTGGAAGAGAAGGCAGGTGGAAAACACAGCACGGATTTTAGTTTGGGAAACCTACCTATAACCTACTATGCATTTATCTTATACCATTATTAGTATTAGTTAATTAATTAAGTACTTATCTGGCTTATGTAGTTTTGTAGACCCTAATTTCAGTGGAGCTTGTCTTTTATATTATAATATATATCCTATTTTTATTGTCGATTTCAATATCAAATAATGAATGACTTTATAAAATGTAAACAATTATGTACAACATTTTCAGTGTGAAAGAGTAGTCTCTATACACGTGTACAACTAGTATCTCACGTTAGCAAACAACACAGCAAGCACTTCCATGGTCTCTGAAAAGGACTCCTGCAGATATTAAGATCCCCAGGAAAGAGTGAAAGGTGAGGTGATATGGTGGCTGACAGGTGTGAGGAACTTCTCCGTGACGTTAACGAGGTTTCTGATCTACTTTTGAAACATTTGAGATGCGTTTTGACTTTACTCACCCATTCTAGGACACGAATAAACCCAAGAGGTTCTTTCAGTGGTCCCAGGTCCAGAGAGAATCCAGACGCCAATTTCTGGGTGCAACAAACGGTCGAGTGTAAAAAAAAAAGCAGAACAAGGCTAAACAAACATTACGTTAGCCAGGTGTGGAGGCAGCAGCGTTTGGAAAAGCAGCCAAACTACCTGTTCGTCACCTTGTGGCTAACTGGCCCTGCCCTTGTTAGCCAACCCCTGCTAGCAACATGCTAACACTAACTCATGTCATTCTTATTATTTACCAAACCCACCAACCTGAACGGTGTCCATTGGGGCGTGAAACAACTACAGTGTCGTTTGGTTTCAACCCTGAAGTTCAGTTCGGTTGTTAATCCAACTTGTTCGAATGGTGAACTCCGATCCAGCGGCTACTGACTGACTGTCAGCGAGGGGCAGAGCCGCAGGAGAGGCGAGTGACTGATAAGCTCAGCCTACTGTCATCAGAGCCTGTTCAACAATGAACAAGTGACCAGCTGTCACCAACAACGAAATATGAACAGCAAGACTTCCGGTTACCTTTCTAAATAATAAAGTCAGTAGCATTTATGATTATTGTCAACCCGGTTCCACCACAGGATATTAGCCCTATTATTGATTTTTGATTATTCAATCTGTAAATTGTAGGGATTTTATCGTCATGGGATGAACCCTTTGAGACGTATCATCTCGTTTTCGATGTGGTCCCAAACATTCATAAACAAAAAAGTACAGGGGACAACAATACAAAACACTAAAGTTACAAAAAGCAACAGCAACACACAAGAAAACAAAGTATGGAGAGAAAGATCAGATGAAAAGGTTACAACCTTAGACTACACATAATCTAAAGAGAGGAAAAGGATCATTCTATAAACAAATAAGACCTGAAGGAAATACAAGAAGCCATTGAACAGTGACATCAATACTGAAAACACGTGCAATCTGTTTTAAGATGAGAAAACATTTCATTTTTATATAAACTAAATG